CCTGACCCCCCTTTTTTTTGGGTTCCCCCCCCCAGAGAGGCGATGGCCGACGACCTGAACTTCCAGACGTGGGACACGGGGGGGCCTCGGCCACGTTCCCCGTGACCCCTTTTTGGGGTCCTGCATCCCCAGGGGTGCCCCCCAATCCCAAAACTCGTGATTTGGGGGTTCCTGACCCCCTGACCCCCCTTTTTTTTGGGTTCCCCCCCCCAGAGAGGCGATGGCCGACGACCTGGACTTCGAGACGGGGGACGCGGGGGCCTCGGCCACGTTCCCCATGCAGTGCTCGGCCCTGCGCAAGAACGGCTTCGTCGTCCTCAAGGGCCGCCCCTGCAAGATCGTGGAGATGAGCACCTCCAAAACGGGCAAGCACGGCCATGCCAAGGTACCCCGGGATCCTAAAATACCCCAAAGTATCCCAAATTTGCCCCAAAATATCCCCTGAGCAGCCACAGCCCCAGAGAGGCAACCCCGGCCCTACAGAGACACAGAGAGCCCATCCTGGAGCCCCTCAGCCAGCCCTGATATCCCCCCAAACAGCCCCAAAACGGGCAAGCACGGCCATGCCAAGGTACCCAGGGACCCCAAAATACCCTAAAGTATCCCAAATGTGCCCCAGGATATCCCCTGAGATCCCCCAGGGAAAACACGGTCCCACAGAACCACCCAGAGCCCCTCAGCCAGCCCTGATATCCCCCCAGACAGCCCCAAAAGGGGCAAGCACGGCCATGCCAAGGGACCCAGGGACCCCAAAATACCCCAGGATATCCCAAAAGTGCCCCAAAATGTCCCAAATGTGCCCCAAAATATCCCCTGAGCAACCAGGGCCCATCCCGGAGCCTTCCCTGGGCTCTGAGCCCACCCCAGACATCCCCAAACAGCCCTAAAAGAGGCAAGCACGGCCATGCCAAGGTACCTGGGACCCCAAAATACCCCCAAAGTACCCCAAATGTGTCCCAAAATGTCCCCTGAGATCCCCCAGGGAAAACACGGTCCCGCAGAACCACCCAGAGCCCCTCAGCCAGCCCGGATATCCCCCCAAACAGCCCCAAAAGGGGCAAGCACGGCCATGCCAAGGGACCCAGGGACCCCAAAGTACCCCCAAAGTGTCCCAAATTTGCCCCAGAACATCCCAAATGTGTCCCAAAATATCCCCTGAGCAACCAGGGTCCATCCTGGAGCCTTCCCTGGGCTCTGAGCCCACCCCAGACACCCCCAAACAGCCCCAAAAGGGGCAAGCACGGCCATGCCAAGGGACCCCGGGACCCCAAAATACCCCAGAGTATCCCAAATTTGCCCCAGGGTATCCCCTGAGATCCCCCAGAGGAAACACGGTCCCGCAGAACCACCCAGAGCCCCTCAGCCAGCCCTGATATCCCCCCAGACAGCCCCAAAAGGGGCAAATACGGCCATGCCAAGGGACCCAGGGAACCCAAAATACCCCAGATGGGCCCCCAAATATCCCCTGAGCAGCCACGGCCTCAGAGAGGCACCCAGGGCCCATCCTGGAGCCTTCCCTGGGCTCTGAGCCCACCCCAGACACCCCCAAACAGCCCCAAAACGGGCAAGCACGGCCATGCCAAGGTGCCCAGCGACCCCAAAATACCCCAAAGTATCCCAGATGTGCCCCAAAATATCCCCTGAGGAGCCACGGCCCCAGAGAGGCAACCAGGGCCCATCCCGGAGCCTTCCCTGGGCTCTGAGCCCACCCCAGACACCCCCAAACAGCCCCAAAAGGGGCAAGCACGGCCATGCCAAGGGACCCCGGGACCCCAAAGTACCCCAGGATATCCCAAAAGTGCCACAAAATATCCCAAACGTGCCCCAGAACATCCCCTGAGCAGCCACAACCCAGAATGTCCCCAGACTGCCCCAAAATACCCCCAAACTGCCCCAAAATACCCCCAAAATGTCCCAAAGTACCCTCAAACTGCCCCAAAATACCCCCAAAATGTCCCAAAGTACCCCCAAAATGTCCCAAAGTACCCTCAAAATGTCCCAAAATACCCCCAAAATGTCCCAAAGTACCCCCAAAATGTCCCAAAGTAC